TTAGCGTGGGTACGTTCATAAATATTGGTACAAATTAAATTAAAAATATGGGTACATATTAAAATTCAAATCTATGGGAAATTAGCATGGGTATGTTCATAAATATTGATACAAATTAAATTAAAAATATGGGTACATTTGAAAGTGATTAATAATTTTTCATTTTTAAATTGACATATAATGACTTGTAAATAATTTAATATTCAAATAATGACATGAAGAAAAGTCAAGGACCTTGATCAAAAATGAAAAATGAATAAGGTTTCAATTAATGAGAAGGAGAAATGAGGGATGAGAAATAAGGTTTCCACTATAAAGCCGTATGCAATGCATGTGAAAAGATGCATGTAAGGTTGTTCAACCTCCTTTACCGGCTAGGATTGGAAATCTTGTATTTTACATATCCATACAATTGAGTCCTTGGGTTTCTGAAATAGTGTATAAAATAAAGAAGTGTTTTGAATAATTGCTATTTGACTCGGACTTGTTCTAAAAAAGTGTTGACAAGGACAGAGTTAAGGAAAAACTTTGAAATTATTTCAATATTGGACCTTAGACATATAATAATTCTGGAATAGAATCTCTTTAGAAAGAAGATCTTTTGTCAGCGTACTCCGGTTCCCTTACGAAACTTTCATTATTGGGTTAGCCATATACTTTACATATTTCTAATGATTCACAAGGCATCATCAAATGATACAAGTCTTGGATAAGAATCTACAATGCACTAGAATGCCATTGTTGACAATCATTTACTCCGACAACATCTAGGGTGCCTCGAACAGTGTAATATCTCACACCGGATAAATCTTTAACCCTTCCTCCTCTTACTAAGACTACAAAATTTTCTTCCCTTAAAGACTCCCTATAATATAAGTATATATATATATCTGCATTTAACAAGAGGGATTCCCATTTTTCAAAAAAAAATGGGGACACCCTCTTAACTGTTGGATTGGTTTTAATGAAATTGTGTAGTTGAGATTAAATCACAGGCCACACAATTTCATTAAAGCCAAATCTAACGGTCAAGAGGGTGTCCCCATTTTTGTTGAAAAATGAGGATCCCTCTTATTAAAGGATTCCTATATATATATATCTGCACTCTATAGTAGGTAAAAATAGTCAATGTTTGTCTAAACCCAACCAATAATTAGGATTACCCTGCTTTCAAAACCTTCAACTTTAGCAGGTAGGAATGGTCAAATAAACATGTATAAGCATAAACATCCTCATATGTTCTTGCGTCAGTCGCGCACACAGCAGGTACATTCATCATTTCTGTTCTTGAATGAAGAATACTAGGGTTTATTTTTTGTAAATATATAACTAACACATAATTGTTGCGCATATGAGTCTTATTGTAGGATTCACATGTATCGATAGTCAGGAATTAATCAAACTTGCACAATTTTTCAGAAAGACCTCCTCTGGGAATAAATTGATGCTTGCAATTAAAAGCCTCCTAGGCCAAGGCTCCAAAACCCTTGGGCTTCTGAGTTATGTTTAGGCCCATACATTCTATAAGATGTTACTCAAAAGGTTTAAGAATATGTGCAGAGTGCTTAATGTCCGATCACGTTATCTGTATAATAATTGTCATTGTGAGATATAAATTTTTTTATTTTGGATCCCATCCGATCTCTAAGAGTTGATGCAATTAGACAGTTTTATCAAAATTTATCTCCACCTAAGCATGGAGAAAGTGGACAACAAGCAGACAACCATTTATTTGTTGACTCATGAATTTTGTACACTTTGTTTGGTCAGGTTCTGGATAGAAGTCCTTACTTCCCTGATTTTAGTGGGCAGGCAAGAGAAGGTGACAAAAACCAACCACCCAAAGCACCCACAACTTCCATTTTTTACTAAATCTTTACACCTCCACTTATCAAATCATGTCATGCTTCCTACATTTTAGTGTTGTGTATGTACAAAAATATCCCAAGTACTAAGACCATTTCTAACTGAAGGAGGGCACTCTAAGAAATTAATATTTTAATGAACAGTGTAAGACCATATTTCTTACCATCTCCAACCGGGAGCCAAAGGGCCATAGAGCTCGTTTTAGCTCTAACACAATAAACCGTCTCCAACCAAGACCAAAGGGCCATAGGGCCAAATATAATTTATTATTTAAATTTAAAAATTACAACAACTTAAATTTAAAAATTACAACAACTTATATTTAAAAACTACAACTAAAATTTAAAAACTACAACAACTTAAATTTAATATCTAAAATCATCATTATCTTCATCATCCATCAGTGTAGGAGTATAGTCGGAGGTAAACAACTGTTGTCGAGTCATAATTTCTTTTTTTTTTTTCTATCAAAATAGACCTTACTCATTAGAGTGTAATTCAAAGTGTTCTTTCCATATCGTTATTATTCATCTCTTCTTGTATTTGTTTGGCCCATTCTTCATGCCTACGGTTCCTTTCTTCCACGACAAAAGCATTTTGCTCCGCCATTAATCGCAATGAGGCCGCCACTTTTTGTTGAGCAGCGTAATCATCATTTGCCTTGTCCTTTTCCTTCAACCTTCGGGCCTTATTATGTCCCATAACCATAGGTATGGAACCTTCACCCGAAAGCGGATTTTCTACCCTTGTTTGTTAAATTGTAGGAGATTCATCTTCATCCATATACAGCTAAGGATGCAGTTTTGAACACCGGTGTAGGACCTACTATATGTTGAGGTGGATCTTCAAATGGCACCCACCCTTTACAAATTTTCCAACAACCGTGAAACTAAAAGGGTTTCAAGCTGCCCTCCATATACAATTCCTCCACTTGGCGTACCTAGAAAATATAATTACACAAATTAAAGGAAATTAATTTATGAAATTAAATGTAATATAATTACAAAACTTAAAGGAATTTAATTTATGAAATTAAATGTAATATAATTAAATATGTAAAATAAATTGTGAAAACACTTACTTCTTCATAGTAATTGGCTCCGCTTTCATGTCTACTTGTTGCTGCTAACAGTGCTTGATGTCATTTGTTTAAACTTGGATGAAGATGTTTATTCCATCTTGAAGAACAACTCTTGTGGTTTCGGGCATTCGATTGAGTGGTGCCTTCATAGAACTATAAGTATTTTTTGGACACACGAGTCCAAACACCTTCACTTGTTTGAGAACTCCCCCTCATACTATCTTCCGACACCCATCTATAAGCCTTGCAAAGAGCTTCATCTTTGTTTCGGTTCCAAGCCCTACCTTTCATTGCAGATGAGGCCATTTGAAAATTATTGAAAAAATTGAAGGAAAAATTATTAGAAGAGGTAAGAAAACATGAGAATTGAAATGATGTAGGAATAACTTAGGTATTTATAGGAAAAAATGAGATTTTTTTTTAAAAAATTGGCGCATAAAAATTCAAAAACCAACTGTAATTGACATCAGCTAGCTGTTGGGGTTTGAATGGGAGCCCCGTCCAAGGCCGGCTAGCTGGCTGCTTTAGGCCAACCGGTTGGCCCTTTGACCTTTTTTTGTCCAATAAGGCCCACGAGCCATTTGGCCTGTCCTTCGGTTGGAAACGATTTTCTTGCCATTTTCGGTCCTCTGATCCTCTGAACTCTTCGGTTAGAGAATCATCTCCAACCAACCCGGTCAAATGACTATAGGACTAAAAATAGCCCGTTTTGACATGAAAACCGTCTCCAAAGGATAAGCCAAAAGGCAGTTGGACCTCACCCAGCCAAAAATCTCAAAACAGGCCAACGGCCAGCCAGCTAGCATCCTCCTGGACAACCGCGTCACCATCTTCCGGGAAAAGTGAGAGACTGATTGTGGGTAGCTTTTTCCCCGAAAGGTTCTCCATCTTCCGGGAAAATCTGCAACTGCGTTCTGTTCAGATTCCCTTATTTTTGCTAAATTGAATGATTTGTGATTTGTTTTAGCTGAATTAAAGGTGGATTGTCAAAGCAGAGGAAGACAGAGTGCAGAGAAAAGGGTTTTTCTTGACTCTTTAGGAAACCAGGAAAGATTGGAGATCTTAACAGAGAGAGAGGGTTTTCTGCAAAACTTAGAGGGAGTGAAGTAGAAGCAATGGATTATGCAGCAAGTAGGAAAGGGATTATTGTTTATTGAGTGTTTCTAGAGAGAGAAAGAGAAGATGCAGAGGAAAGATCACCTTTCAGGTCTCTCCTCTCTGGTCTTCTCTAATGCCTCTGGTTTCAGAGGAAAGGGCAAATATAAACACTGGGCATTCTAATTTTCTCTTCTTTTTTTGTTAAATTGCCCCCTTCATGTTTTGGTCAATGAATTATGGCCATTGGGTTGTTACATGCTTTTGAAACTTTTTCATTTGCGTCCACACAGAAATGAAATTTAAAATGACTACTTGTATATTGTTGTCTACCAAACAGACCATAATATTTGTGCGTGAGTTACTTCAAAAATGAGTTTCGTCCCGAATATTGTTTTACTAAGTTAAGCGATAACATTACTCGAAATTCTATTAAAAAAATTATTGATATTACATATCGACAAGAAATTTAGTAGAGTTATTCAAAGATCGACAAGTGACACTCAAAATCCGAGACGTAAAATTATTGAGATTCCTTATCGACAAGAAATCTGCAAAGTTGCACACAGATCGACATGTGTCACCCAATCTCTAAGACGTAACATTATTGAGATTCCTTATTAACAAGAAATTATTGACATTCTATCTCAATAAATGATAGAGATAGTTTAATTTAAATAACCATATTAATTCAATTAAAATAATAAATTATGTTTGGCCCTGGCCTTTTGGCCCGTTCAGTTGAAGATGGTTTTTTGTCACAGGATTATGTTTGACCTATGAGTCCTCTAATTTTTCGGTTAGAGATGATAAGAAATATAAAATGACATTATTCATTAAAATATTAATTTATTAGAGAGCTATAGAGTTAAAATAAGTCTTCTGACCCACCACCATCGGTTGGTTGGAGATGGCCTAATATACCCACTTGAATCCCACTTCTCCAACTGAAGAACTGCTACCTCACTATTTGCCTAACGGGCATGGCTGGTTCTTCTCCGTTGCATCCTTCTCCTCCAACTCTCATTAATCTCAACTTCCGGAGAAGTGAATTGGGTTACTTTCATTCTTCAACTACCACCCATGTTCTCAATTCCAAGCTCAGGCACTGTCCTCTCAGGTATCTCTCTTTCTTTTACTGTTTTACCGAGTATTTTTTTTCTTTTCTTTTTCCTTTTGATTTTTTGCACTTTTGGTCAATTGGGTGACGAAAACTTGCTGGAGAATGGAGAAAGCAGCAATTACAAGATACCCATGTAATCATTTGATCAGATAAACATTTTTTAGCTTCTGGGTTTCTTAGATAAGATGATGTTTCTTTTAAAGTTGAATGCTTTAGTTTCTTGAGAGAGGATATGATGTGGATTTGAACTTTCAATTCACTCTAAAATTAGATAATATGATGTGAATTTGGTAAATGTAGGAGCCAATCGACCAGTACTGAGGAACCAAAAACAAAGAGAAATTTACTGGACAATGCAAGCAACCTCCTTACCAATTTTTTAAGTGGTGGGAAAATTGGGTCTATGCCCACAGCTGAAGGTGCCGTCACCGATTTGTTTGATCGGCCTCTCTTCTTTTCACTGTATGATTGGTTTATAGAGGTATGCATCTGCTTTATTTGAATTGTTTACCCTGTCATCAATTGTTCATTTGCTTGTTTAGATTTAAAATTTGATGGCATATACAGATAGAAATCGCAGTTTCGCAGCTGTGGGGACTGGGGACTTTGTTACAGTGGCTTTCTGAGTTCCATTTTTCATTGAATGTTTTTCCGTCTTACAAATTTTGTCTGTCTTGGCAGCATGGCTCTGTGTACAAGCTTGCATTTGGACCAAAAGCTTTTGTTGTTGTATCAGATCCAATTGTTGCGAGGCATATTCTTCGAGAAAATGCATTTAGCTATGACAAGGTACTACCTAATAATGTGCTCTGGAGTCTGGACTCCCCTTGTATTGCAAGAATTTGAATTGTTGGTTCTCTCTTCATTTTCCATGTTTGTAATGCCCCGCGTAATTTGCTAACAATGTTAACCTTTTTGCCGTTTGGTATATAATCTTGAGTTATTTTCGAATTCCCTTTTTGTCATCTCAATCATTTATATAATATGTGCAAATGCATATATTTCATTTATAAGCTGTTTTGAGTCAAATAATTTTTACTTATTCTAATCTGTTCTTTCCAATTGCTTGCACACTTGCACATAGGGAGTTCTCGCTGATATTCTAGAGCCAATTATGGGGAAAGGACTTATACCCGCTGACCTTGACACTTGGAAGCAGAGGAGAAGAGGTGAGCAGTAACAGTTAATATTAAGAGTTTTCACCTCAGGTTGGGGAAAAGAATATGGGGTTTATATTGTAAGTTTGTAACTGACATAATCTGTTTTTGCAGTTATTGCTCCGGGATTCCATTCTTTATACTTGGAAGCTATGGTCAAGACATTCAGAAATTGTTCAGAAAGAACAATAGTAAAATTTGAGAAGCTACTTGAAAGAGAGAGCTTGCGTGGTGGCAAGGCAATAGAGTTGGATCTTGAAGCAGAGTTTTCGAGTTTGGCTCTTGATATTATCGGGCTTGGTGTCTTCAACTACGACTTTGGTTCTGTTACCAAAGAATCTCCTGTAATTAAGGTTTGGCAAAATGAGCTTACATTCTAAAGATTCCGTAATGTTGTATCGGGCATTCAATGCATCTCATCTTGATCTCCTTTTTCAGAAGAACATTGGGTTTTCATATCAGTTTTACATGCATTTTTTGTATTCTGTTTAACATACAACTTACAGAGGTTCTTATAATTTCTGGAGTGAACATAATCTTACAATTTGCTCGGTGAATACTAATATACTTGTTTCTTTCTTTTCTTAATAATTCACTAATCATTGCGAACTGTTACTTTTGTTTAGTATACGATATGACCTTGTTCCCCTTCAACTATTATTGATATTGATTTAGAATTCATGTTAATGTACTTACTGCTGAGAATTCATGTTCAGATTTTTTGCAAAAATATTACAGGCAGTTTATGGCACTCTTTTTGAAGCTGAACATCGGTCCACCTTTTATATCCCGTATTGGAAATTTCCACTGGCAAAGTGGATAGTCCCCAGGCAACGGAAGTTCTACGGTGATCTGAAGGTTATAAATGACTGTCTTGATGTACTCATCAGAAATGCGAAGGAGACCAGAGAGGTTAGATGAAACTTGAGCTGAATGAAATAATTGATGTTTGTAGCATTATTGGAAACAGATGTTAAACAAAAAATTCCACTATTAAGAACCGTATTTTGATTATATTCTGTGACAGGAAACAGACGTTGAAAAACTGCAACAAAGGGATTACTTAAATCTGAAGGTGGGGAAAACTCCAACTCAAAAATAATCCAATTCACATTTGCTTGTGAACTCTAAAGATAAATGATTGCAATTATGAGCTTTGCTGAAGCGTCAAAATTCTGGCATTGTAACTATAAAGTTTGCAGGATGCAAGCCTATTGCGTTTCTTAGTTGATATGCGTGGAACAGATGTTGATGATCGTCAGGTATGTACTTGAAAAACTTCAATGCTTTTAGGTACAGGAAATCTGACCAAAATAATTTACTTTGAGCATTTACGATTTATGTTTGAGAATTTTAACAATTCAACAATGTTTAGTGTATTTGCACATAATTCTAATAAAGGTTACCTGTGGATTTCGACAGTTGAGGGATGATTTGATGACAATGCTTATTGCTGGCCATGAAACGACAGCTGCTGTCCTTACGTGGGCTGTTTTCTTCCTTGCACAAGTATTCATTTCTAGTTTGAATGTTGCAGCCTTGTTAGGTTTCAGAATAAAGTTATACAGAACCGGTGTTAATTTGCTTTCTTGCAGAACCCGTCCAAGATGAAGAAAGCGCAAGAAGAGATTGATTCAGTGCTTGGACAGGACGGACCAACTTATGAATCAATCAAAAAATTGGAGTTCGTTCCTCCCAAGACATTACGATGATTACTTGAACTTGGCTCTTTTTCACCCGAATGATTGATTCAGTATATGGTTTTTCTTCTTTTAGGTACACCAGACTTATTGCCGTAGAGTCTCTTCGTTTGTTTCCCCAACCCCCCTTGCTTATTAGACGTTCTCTCAAACCAGATAAACTACCAGGTATTAGGACAGAAGAAAGACCCTGAAGGGCAAGAACATTTTTTTCTTTTTATCAAAGTCATATCTAGGTTAAGACGGACTTATGTCCATCGTGCAGGAGGATACAACGGTGCAAAAGATGGTTATGCGGTTCCTGCTGGGACTGATCTCTTCATTTCTGTGAGTATAAGAACTTAAGTTTCCTTGTTTCTTGATGAAGTTCTTTAAAAAGGTTTGTTAAGGTAACACTAAGCCAGGACCTCAGCTGTATCTATTGTTGGCGTAATTCCATGTACTTAATCTGCGCTTCTAAGCTCTTTGCTTTAAACTTCCAAAACCATTGTCCATTCAGGTATATAATCTCCATCGATCTCCATACTTTTGGGACAATCCTAATGAGTTTGAACCGGAGAGGTTTTTAGTCGAAAAGAAGAGTCACGTTGAAGGATGGGCTGGTTTTGACCCTTCTCGAAGCCCTGGAGCGTTGTACCCGAATGAGGTTATTATTACTAGTCACTGCCACTTTTGAACCTACATTCATGTTCTCACATTGATGATATCTATCATGTAATGATTTTATGATTGCAACTATCAGATTATAGCAGATTTCGCCTTCTTACCTTTCGGTGGAGGGCCAAGAAAATGTGTCGGAGACCAGTTTGCTCTAATGGAGTCAACTGTGGCACTGGCTATGCTGCTGCAGAAGTTCACCGTCGAGCTAAAAGGATCCCCAGATTCAGTGGAACAAGTTACAGGGGCAACACTGCCATACAAAGAACGGATTGTGGTGCAAGTTACAGAAGAGGTCGATATAAACTGACATACCGAACAACAATACACAAAAGGATCACTGATGATAATTGTGCAGTGCATTCTTCTTTGTAACACAGCTACAAGCTCGGCATATATTTGACGGAAAAGCATTCGTCTTCTATTGTCATATACAATAATTTTGTTAGCAATGAAAAAGGAAGATTGTTGCATAATGTTTCATAACTTAAAACAAAATTTGCAGGAGAAATGATATAGCATATTTTACTTATATGAATGTATACTCTTCCTATGGTCAGCCGTCCGTGTGCTGAGCAATCCTCGATCGCCATTGATGCATCGTGGGTTCCACATACTTCAACGGTCAGACTTCACTTGAGCGCGTGGGCGACTAACCATAGGACTGATAGCCAATCACCCTTTGTCTAGACCACTGCAACGCGGTGAAATGAAAGGGTTAACCATGAAGAGATGGCGTAGCCTCGTCTAAAAGATTCATCATACCTATCGAGTCTTAAAATAGAACTTGTTGAGAAGAGAAACGCAGTTGAAGAGTGCACGACATAAAATTCAACATATATTGTTTCTTCCGACATCGTTTTGTACAATTGTTCAGTAAAAGAACAAAACGAAAACATCTATGTACCGAAAAACGTGGATATATGAGTTCATCTTTTTCAATCCTCGTTTACAAGCATGAGGCTGAATTTACAACTGGACGATAGTCTCTTCATCTCAATGGATGGCCATCTCTCTAAGCTATTTTGGTGGGTGCTTGTCACGTCGATGCTTGCGCGAGGAGCCTACAGACTGTTCCTGCAGCCAAAGAGCATTAAGTTCGTGCAAAGAAAATCCAATGTCAAATAGGAAACAGAAGTCCAAATAGGCTATTCAAGTGCCCACCATATCTTCGGGATTGCCCCGAATCTCAAAACAGCCATGCACAATCGGTGCTCCGGGACTAGGTTGTAGCTGCAACCAAAAAAAGCCAAAAATAACACACTGCTATTTTAGTATTTGGATTTGATGAATCGTACTGCTTGATAGAATGCCATGTACGAAAAATCCAGTACCATTCCTTGCAGGCTCTGTTGGGTCCCTAAGTGACGAGTTCGTGTTTGTAATGAATGAACCTGTCCCTGAATGAAATCGAAAGAAAATGTTTGCATTCTGATTCCTGAATCGATATTAAAAATCAAGGTCAGAATGAATAAAGGTTTGGGTCGTACCTGGGTGGCCCGTTGGTTGTCGTAACAACCCTCATGGATAGGAGAAATTGAGTTCAACTGTCCCTGATATAAGTATAAAACAACCCTCGATATAACTTACCACTGGATGAAAATACTGTAAGGTTACATACCAACAAACTCTTATTGCATTATTCTGGGATAACATAGCTGTTTCATATTACCCGTTCAGATTCTTGCTGAGGGACGTAACAATTATCAAGCTTATGTGCTCTGGACTTCATCAGTTCCTACATTTAAAAACCATAGTGAGGTGAATCATAATATATTAAAGTCGAAAACAAAGAATCGATGAGTGAGAGTTTCGGAACAAAAATGACCATGAGACAAACCATCTGCTGGCAGCTGTCTTGCAACCTGATAGCGGTGCCATCCAGTTCAGTTTGCACCTACAGTACATGTAAAATCGACTTTAGGCACACATCAATTAGGATGACCCAAAACAAGTTGTGGCAAGATCTACATGCCAAAGATCAAGCCTTAACTAACCTTTCTTTTTTTGTATGTTTTCTTTTTCTTCGACGACTTGGCCACACTGCAGCTGGGATTCACTACTTCAACGTCAATAAAACCATGATTAGCTGGCATGGGTTCCAAAACACTTCTTACAGAATTATTGACATCGACACAATGTTTCATAACTGTTTCTAATGCCTGAAATGCAATGTGGTAAGCGTCCAGAGATAAAGACCCCTCTTCACCCAACTTAACAGCTAATTTACATAGATCATTGAAATGTTGCACCCTGCAGTTAAGCCTCTTCGATCCATCGCTAACAGTATGCCTAACTTTTGCATCTTTAGTCCAACGCTTCAAAATATAATGGGATGGGATTGTGTAAACGCCAGACACCTGGAGGACCAGAATTGCATGCCTACAGAGAAAACCTCTGCATTCAAATGAATGACATAAACAACATACTTTTTGGTCTGCTTCATTCCAAGACACAATGAAATTCTGGCGTTCTTCCAAATCTGTGACCCGGAAGATATAGATGCTTCATTTTCATCTTCTTTCTTCAAATGACAAGAAGCTAGTCCAAAAACCTCGTCCTCAAATTTTTTAAATACAGCATTGGTATAGATAGTTGACATTTGTTTCTCAAAAGGCGAGAAGGATCTTAATCCAGGTTGTTTATCTTGTGTTTTGAGAGAAGCGCGGGCTTCCATGTCATAACTATCTTTACAGAATGCTTTGTACTGCTCAATAAAATCCTTAAATGTAGCTTCTTGAGTAATGTACCTATCAAAGAATGAAGTTATACTTCCAGATCGCTCCTTTGTTGACATTCCAGCTAAAAATGAATCCTGCATATAAGTTGGGGCCCACTTTTTACGATCTTCATACAATGAATGAACCCACTCATTGTCTCTTAGTTCAAATCTATCAACCAGTTTCGACCATTCCTTTTCAAATTGTTCAACTGTCCAAGACCAGTAAATGCATTTGCTGAATTTTTCGATAAATGTTTCTTTCTCATTTATGGAACCCAAATTTCCAGGAATCCTGGTCAATACATGCCATAAGCAAAAACAATGGCGTGCATCAGTAAACACATCTTCTACAGCTTCTTTCAGGTATTTGTCTTGATCGGTGATAACCACTCCTGGAGCTTGGCCACCCACTGCTTTACACCACGTCCGCATTAACCAAACGAAAGCCAATGTAGTCTCTTCTCCAATCAATGCACATCCAAGCAAAATGTACTGAAAGTGATGATTAACTCCAACAATAGGAACAAAAGGAATTTTATAATTGTTTCTAACATAGTAAGTGTCAAAGAAGACTACGTCACAGAAACTGCTATAATCACGCTTACATTTTGAATCAACCCAAAACACACTTCTCAATCGTTTCTCATGGTCAAAATCTATTGCGTAGAAGAAGTTGGGATCCTCATCCTGCATAGACATGAAATGTTCAAACATTACTCTTACATCTTCCTCATCTAAAGCCAACTGCAGACCCGTCTTCTGAGGAACAACGATAGCAGGTTTCTTGTTCCTTCCACTGATAGCATAAATGAAATCATCTGGGCAAATCTCATGGTTGTGCTCCTTTACAAAACTATGTACTACCCATTTTTCACTCTCTTTCCTCTTTATATGCAAGCTAGCTTTGCAGTCTGTCTTTGTGATACATGTTCTTGGATTGACAGTTGTTCCCAACTCACGCTTGCTTCCAAATCTAGAGCATGCAATTTTTATGTCAATGAACTTTCCAGATTTTTTTGAGCGCCGACTGGCTTTAATTGTGATGCCAAATCCCACAGACCGGGCATACTCCCTGTAGTAAGAGTAAGCTTCTTCCTTGGACTCAAACTCCAAACCATTTTCGGGCTCCTCAACTAGCCCCTTCCCCTTATCAAGGGAATCCACCCCGACATTGTTCAGATCATTTTGATCATTCAAACTAAAAACACTTTGTTCTGCATTCAACCCATCAACTTCCATAACATGATCACTCGTTATCGGAGAAGTAACATGCTCCTCCTCAACATTTACCTCATCTGTGATATCTACAATGTCAACATCTTTATCTGACCCAACACTTTGGTCTGCATTGAATCCATCCTCTTCCTTAACACAGTCACTCATCGGAGAACTAACATGCTCCTCATCAACATTTATCTCATCATTGACATCTACAATGTCAACATCTCTATCTGACCCAACACGTTGTTCTGCATTCAACCCATAAACTTCCTTAACATGATCAGTCGTTGTCGGAGAACTAACATTCGCCTCAACATTTATCTCATATGGGACATCTACACCGTTAACATGTTTACCTGACCTAACACTTTCTTCTGCACTCAACCCATCAGCTCCCCTAACATGTTCACTCGTTGTCGGAGCACTAACATGCTCCTCCGCAACATTTATCTCATCCGCGACATTTAAAATGTCAACATCTTTATCCAACCCTACACTTTGTTCTGCATTCAACCCATCAACTTCCTTAACATTTACCTCATCAGAAATATCTACAATGTCGACTTCTTTATCCGACCCAATACTTTGTTCTGCATTCAATCCATCAACTTCCTTAACACGATCACTCATTACCGGGTAACTAACACGCTCCTCCACAACATTTATCTCATCAGTGACATCTACAATGTTAACATCTTTATCTGCCCTAACGTCTAACTTGTCCTGCTCACATGAGGACAGTTCAAGATCTATCTCCATAGAATCAAACAAAGCTTACACAACACAAAAGCTCATTTCACTGAATTACCTGATACAAAAAATCAATAATAAAAGCTTCAAAATTAAGAAATAAATATGAAAAATTGTAAAAAAACAAAATTATACAAATTTCAAATTTTCAAAGTGAAATGTTCTCTTTGCTAACTAATTTTGTAGGATGCAAGAAGAAAAATAAGCTGAAAAAAGAAAAGTGAAAAAAAGGAAGGAAATTGGTGATTACCCATTTGTTTGGGAGCTCAGCAGCTAGCAACTAAAACATCTCCACTCAATTATGAGAAATTGCAAGACTTGAGCTTTTTCTTTCTGTTTTACTCAATTTTCCCAGGAACCAAACAGGTCGTGAGTCCAAGCAGAATGACGAGAAATCAAGGTCACGTAAACGAAGAGGGAAGTGCTTGCTCCTGCGCAAGTCAGTTTTCACGCTACCACGACGCTCGGACTCGGAACTTTCAAGTTTGGTAGTAGGCCGGGTTCAAGTGCACGGGTAATCGGGTATAATTTAGACCCCAAAATTTTCGATGGATAATCTCTACCGAGGTATGCACATGACGTGGTATAAAGTAGGGATAGTGTTATTGACCTGTTCATTTTTATTTCTCATATATTTTTGTTAAATTTTTACTATTGATCTTTTTAATTAATTTGATTTAACAGTCAAAAATTTAAGAAGGGTGATGTGAGAAGTAAAAGTTGGTGGGCGAATAGCATTATAATTACACAAAACTATCTCAACTATGAGTCGAACGACACTATCATACCTTATCTTTTAAAAATAATAATGTCATACATCATCTTACGAATTTGTTCCAATGTCAAATCATCTGTCAGTTTTTTTGTTAATTTCTCTCTTAAATGCTGACATAGGCTAGAGGCGATGCTCACTCACTAATCCAACTGGATTAAAAAATAATTAAATATATTTTTAATAATTAAATATTAAAAAATAAAAAATAAAATTATTTTTTATATATAATTGTGGGATCCACCTTTACAAACCCTTTTCCTACCCATCCCCCCAACCTTCCTCCGCCACCCTCTCTCTCCTCTCTCTCCTCCTCTTTCTTCTCCTCTCTCTCTGGGCAACCTGCAATCTACAATTTCTTTCCCCATCCCCCACTCTCTCTCTAAAATCCCTACAAGCATAACCCATGCACATATATCTCCTCCGACCACAATTTCTTCCCCCATCCCCTTCTCTCTATCTAAAACCCCCCTCTCTCCTAAAATCCCTCTCTGCAACCTGCAACCCACAACCTACAAACTTCCTAGAATCCTACTCCTCCATCGATGAAGACCATTATGATCGCCTCCCCAACTCCTTCCTTTTTCATCTTCAACAAGATCGGCGATGTCTTGACCATCCTGGCGTCACCCACCACTCATCGAATCGAGCTTCCCAGCGACGAGCTTGGCATCGATGAAGGAATTCTGCTCAGGTCGAGGGCCGATTTCGGCTCCACCTTAGACAACTATGTCATCCTCGACGCTTCCTCTGTCATCCACCAGGAACCTACCAAAGATCGCTCTTTCCGGAAATCGAGTCCAATGGGTTGTGCGACACTAATAACGCCGCCATGGCGGACTACGCTGCACATAAACAAGGACCAACTTGGTTCTGAAGGATGCGGACGAGTAGGGTATTGTACATGAATAGGGCCAGCTCAAGAAGCTTCGGGTAAAGCCATCGTCAGCCTTTTGGCATCGAAGAGGGTGATTGGCAGGTGAGGGCGGCGGTGGAGAAGTGGGTTTTGGTTTTGGTGGTGAAGGAAGGTTAGGGGAGACAAATTGTAGGTTGTCCATAGAGAGATAAGAGGAAAGAGAGGGTGATGGAGGAAGGTTGGGACTTGGGGGGACGGGTGAGGAAGAGTTTGTAAAGGTGAATACCACAATTTTATATAAAAAATATAATTTTATTTTTAATTTTTAATATTTAATTATTTTTTTAATTCAGTTGGATTAATGAGTGGGCCTCGCCTTTAACCACGTCAGCATTTAACAGAGAAATTAACAGAAAAACTGACAAAGGTCTGACATTGGAACAAATTTGTAAGATGAGATATGACATTGTCATTTTTAAAAGATAAGGTATGATAGTGTCGTTCGACCCATAGTTGAGGTAGTTTTGTGTAATTTACCCTATAAATTATATAATCAAAACCGTTCAATTTTTTAATTTTCATTTGAAGATTATATCTATAAAAAAATCATTCAAATCCAAAATCGTTTAGTCATCCAAATATATGGAATAAATAGACGATTTATCATAAGTATGTTACTTGGTACTCACGTAGTTTAAATTCTACCAAATTATTGTAATGCTTCAGTTAAACATAAACTCATCAGACAACTCCAATAGTTGGGTTAAAGATAAACCTCTCCCCAAACCTTCTCAAACAATTGGACCTAAAATAAGTTTTGAGTGAAATAGTTTTTTGGGCAAATACGGGCCGGCCAAGATTTCGGCCTAGGTTGAAGTGCACGTGGATGCGCCCAGAAAATTGGAGAACTCATAGGACAGACGCACCCAACATGCAGAAACACTAACAATGGGTGGGGCTCATGCTGACATCGTTGTCGGGCACCTTTATGAAAAGTTATTCCCATCCTGATAATCCAATTTCTACATTTATGAAAAGTTTGGGTGGGGCTCACGCTGACATCGTTGTCGGGCACCTTTATGAAAAGTTATTCCCATCCTGATAATCCAATTTCTACATTTATGAAAAGTTATTCTCATCCCGATAATCCAATTTCTTCTTTCCACTATTTGGATGAGAATAACTTTTCAAAAATATAGACCACCAAGGGTAAATACCATCAGTTAAGTAGTAACTTAGCTCATGTTTATTACTATTTATCTTGTACCTCCATTCAAGTGGCCATCCATTGATGATGTCATCGAATGAGAAGAAGACCAAAAACTTTGACATCGTTGTTTGATCTAATAACGCCGAAGAATGCATGCCAATACAAGTGTTGTAAGACACTACAGCCTCGAGAACGATGGATGACTTGTTATGATGGATTTTAATTTAATTATACAGATTAACAAGAGTAGGAGAATTGTTCTGCATTGCATTCATACATATCATTTTATATGTGTATTTAATTACTCATTGATAATTGAATTTTGTTAATTATCTGTGTTGCAACAATATAATTTTTTAAGAAGCTTTTATAATAGCTTTCTGGCTTTTGTAGCTAAAAATTAACTAAAAGTGTGGTTCAAAAGCTCTTAAACAAGTCAAAATGGTGTTACTCCCCTATTTGGTTTAATATTGACCTTCCAAGTGTTTCTCCAAGATATAAAGTTTTACGGACTCGTGAGAGTCTGAGTCCAAATCTCATGAACGATACTAATAAACCTCTCATTTCCCAACTGTCTTTGATTTTTGGAGTAAAAAGAAATGCTTATGGAACGGGCTCACAAGCCGAGAGAGAATCTGCTTTAGGCTTTTTTGGAAAGAAGCAAGCTTCAAAATAAGACACCAACACACCCAATTCATCCAAAACAAAAAATACAAAGTGAAAAATATGAAAATTTCACTTGGCAATTTTGCTTGCATCCTCACTATGTTAGCTTGTGCGCAGCAGAAGCAGGGCAATCAGTCAATAGAATTTTGACTAGAGATAAGTTAGCTCTGATCTCAACTGACCCTGTTGAGGCTAAGCAATCAGAGGTACAATAATACAACATCCTTTACAGAGGATATGAACCCTGCTCAAATTTCCATCCTGCTTCCGAAAAGACCGCATACGAAATAGTTAACAACAGCCTACTCTCTCTTATCTTATTTTACAGGTACCAAATTAGGAAGTTGTCCATCGTGATCCCTCTGTCCGCAAGGTATGATACATTTCACTTTTCTTTACATAGAGATTATCTTCAAAGGATCTCCTTTACCTACGGAATAATTATTTATTCAGTTCCACTGTTTCAAGTAAAACTTTGGCTGACATCCAAGGAAAATTACCTTTTCACATGCAAGATACCAACACTGAGCAATGTGTTCCTTAAGCATGTCTGGATGCATCCTCCTGCAATGGAGTGGTTCTTACATTGGGGTCATCCTGACACGAGGAGAAAACAAATGTAAGCTAAGCTAAGCAAAATGCATAATTTAGGAAAGTATTAGTACCATGTCTAGCAAACTAACCCGAATTCCATAAGCAAAACCAGCTGGAGTTCTGAAAAAATCCATCTGTCCCTGCAAGCACAACGCCACAAATTATAAAATGCAACCATTTGAACATGGTCATAGGCTGGATATTTTCGTTATCATGATAGGGTACTGTACCAGCCCATGCATGCTTTGCTGAGCACTGTAATAACCATCATGACTTGGGGCTATAGAGTTCAGTTGTCCCTGCAAGTATTAAAACCAGGTCCAAGTTATATTCATGTAGTTTGCGATATTGCTAGTGTTTTTCTACTCATTTTAATAGTTATGACTTACAAGCCCCTGAATGGTCTGTTGATTCCCATAGTAGTTATCCCGTGTAGGCGCCATTAGATTCAATTGTACCTGACAAAAAGGAGGCAAAGGATGAAAATACGAAAAACAATAAAATAAATAAAAAGAATCATAGACAATTTGTTATTAGTACAAGATATGGTCTCATACCATTCCTTGCACATTCGGTTGGGCACCATAATAGCCATCAAGGGTTACTGTTCTTGAGGTCAATTTCTCCTACAAAATAAGATTCTAATTACAAAATATTGCCATGGTCAAATAAGTGTAAGAAAATTTTACTTGAGGTTCACTAATTTACTACACAATTTTCCCACATGCGATGCCAGATTTACCTAGGCACACCAATCTTGAGTGACCAGATTCATAATATTGTTTCAAAATGAACATGCGTATCCCAGATTAGGATACCAATTGATGCAAGTGATATAAAACAAATATTTATTTTTCAAAAAAGCTAAAAATAATAATAGAAGAAGACGAACCATTTGTTGCAAGCTGTCTTGTGCACCAACAGCCATAACCTCCGGCTCAGAGTTCACCTGCTATTTGATTAGAATGTTACCTTTAAATAAAAGTTACAAAACTATAATGAGCATTACAATTTAGTCACTATCAAGAACATACCTTTCTTTTCTTCGTCGGATTCTTTTTCTTGTTTGTCTTGCTGCTCATACTTCTATTTTGGTTATCATCTTCAATGCAAAGCAGGCCATGAGTGACTGATGTGCCAGCTTCTAACAGACTCTTACTAGAATTATTTACACTCACACAATTTCCAAAAGCTTCTTCTAGTGCACGGCATGCAACACTGTAACTCTCCTGAGATAGAGTTCCTTCCTCAATCACTTTCATTGCCCGTTGACATAAATCATTAAACTTTTGCACCCTGGATAGTACAATGTCGGATTCTTCTCCCACAAAATGCTGGCTCTTTGCATCTTTTGTCCAACGTTTTAATACATATTGTGATGGGATTGCAGATAGGCCACATATTTGGAGAACAATCAATGCATGCCTACAAAGATAACCTTTATATTCAAATAAGCAGC